CCAGTCTTGCCTTCAGTTTCCCATATCTCTTCCTTAAAACAACCTCCTCCACACGATCCACGTGCCATACTCCCAAGCACTATCCTTCATTGTATATACTTTCCTGACTGTGTTTCAATTCCAAATCAAATTCATTCCTAGGTTTCAGTTATTTATTGTCTCTATTTATCAATCAAAATACGTTTCGGTGTATTTTTCCACCATCATCAGTTTTTCTAAAATAACAGATAGTTAAAAAATTTTGTCATTAATTTAAAAAACAACCACAGTTCGTTAACAGCCTCATCATATCACACATTAAAATACATCACAATTGCAAATAAAAATAGCTGAAAGTAAAAGAAATCAATATAAACAGTATTTTATTCGTTTTGTGTCCGATAATGGACAAAATTAATACTCCAAATGCATGCCAAGGCTTAAATCAGCAACAACGCTACACATGTAAGTAAAAATATTTAAGTATCTGAACGAAGAATTCTAGTCTCTTCCCAAATTTGATTGTCTTGACTAATCACCTGTTAGGCCTAATTAATTTTAGAATGTTTTAAAGTATTGCAATTGTGATGTATTTTAATGTGTGATATGATGAGGCTGTTGACGAACTGTGGTTGTTTTTTAAATTAATGACAAATTTTTTTAACTGTGTTATTTTAGGAAAACTGATGATGCTTGAAAAATACACCGAAACGTATTTTGATTGATAAATAGAGACAATAAAATAAGAAAAAAAATAAAAGAGTTAATATTTTTACCACACGCACAGTTCTGTCATCACAATATCGACATTGTAACTTGTATCGAAAAATACTTACCCTACTGAAAAGTGAGACTGATGGTTTTAAAAGCAAGAGTTACAAGATTTTGTATGCAAACAGCAACATAAGACAAAACTTTTCGGGAAAATGTACCTGATGTTGAATGTTTGTTTATGACCGTATGACGTTTTAATTTGTAATTTTGGGCCGCTGCGAACTTTTTAATCGTTGCCAAAACTGACATATTTCAAAATATACAAATTTGTCCTTTAGTTTTAGTCAGTTATTACGGTCGTGGGTAAAGTATGGTACATGCAAGATGCAACGCAATTACGTACTCATGGAATTAAAGTAAAGTGCTCCTTACAACTGTTATTATGTAATATACGATTATAGCTGCGATTGAGGGCAATAGTCTAATAAATTACTTGACTTTACATAATAGATATATCAATATACAGTTTGTCAACATTTTCATCAAACTGTGATTGTTTTTTAAATTAATGAAAACATTTTTTTTACTATCTGTTATTTAAGAGAAACTGATGATGGTGGAAAACACCGAAACGTATTTTAATTGATAAATAGACAATAAATGACTGAAGCCCAGGAATTGATTTTGATTTGGAATTGAAACACAGTCAGGAAAGTATGTACAATAATAGATATAGACTTAAAAACTCTTAAAAAGCTTGCGAAAGTTGATTAGAACAAAACAAATCACAATCAGATGTAAACACCAATGTCAACAAGGCAAGTGTCAAATTATTACTTAACATGTAGTTATAGTTTTAGCCACCAAGGGCGTCTGGACTTTTGAACTCGCGAATAGTATAACGGAAAAGAATAAGTTTTAATAATAATTAATCGTCGTTAATATAAATTCATGTTTTCAAAATCCTCCCTACGTGTCCTTTCTGTTTTCAAGAAAACCGACTTATTATTTCAATTAAACATCCTGTAGATTTAAAGTTTAGTAATCCAAAAATAGAATAAAATTTGACGCCTCTGTTTGAATTGATTATCCAAATGAAAAAGAATTCGCAAACCACGTCTTGGACAACGAAAAACCGCGTTCTGTGTAGTACAAAACGTTTCAACAAAATCAGTTTGTTTTGGTTAAGAACAATTAGCTACACAGGAAATGCCATGTACTTAAAGGAAAATTTCTAAAATTAATCCGAAATTGTTAAAAAGCATTGGAGAGTAATGAGGAAATACAGGGACAGATGAAGAAGTCTTACCCGATACTTTCCCCAAAGTAAATTATTCACTAGAACTCAGGGAGGACGGTTTTCTCGAGTTTTTCCATTTAATTTTTGTGGAAGCAGGTTCTGATAAGATGTTCCAGATCCAGCTTTCATCCTACCGAAGCCATCGGCTAACGAATTCCATATCTGTTGTAATTGCGGGCTGCAAAAGGCATGCGCCACGGGAAAATCACTCGGTCGTTTTTCCTCTGGCCGGGAAATTTCAGTTTTCATTTCGCGAGCATGAAAGTCTCGGTCGATGCCGTTGAGGAAGCGCGAGTGCCTCTTCAAGTCATAAACAATCCATTATTTTTAACTATCGCCCCGCTTTCACGTAACGCTCCAGTCTGGATTGTGGTAGTCCCGACCGTTAAGACAACATGTAGTCGGGATAACTGCGAGCTGATCCCGCGAATATGGTGAGTAAACAGCAACAGTGTGACAAGTGTTTAGGTTTTCCATAAAATTTACTGTGATGAACGAGGGCCAAACGATACTGAGCCAAACTGAGTAAAATGCATAGTTTACGACCTATTTTTACTTGATTAATTTAGTACATCTGGCTCCTAGTATTCAGCATTTTAGTAAACCCGATTTTTTGCCAGTGGTTTTTAGCAATAGAAACAATATTAGATTATCAAAGTTGTGTAGGAGTCGTACATTTATGCAAGATTATTTTTACGGTTTTAGTGCAGTATGGATCAGTCAGATTTATTATTCAAAATGCAACCATTTCAATGGAAAATGGGTCAGCATTTTCCTTAGAAACAACGCTGGGAGGGAAATATTTATATTATTATAGTTTATTTAGCAAGCCTACAGAAAAGGGATTAAACTTCTAGGGACTGTTAATCAGTGCAACAATAAAAGCAATTTGAGTATAGAAACTCTTGTCCGAAAATCTGTTTCCTCGTGTTTTGAAGGAAAATTTTCATTTTTTTGTATATACAAGGTGTTCGGTACACCTTGTATATACTTGCATATTGTTGCTCAACAATATGCCGCGGACAGACGACCTGAAAATTAGTCCGGTACTTTATATAAGTTTTTTTCCGATCTGGCTTCGCTAAGAAATAATGGGCCACTAAAGTAACAAGTTCAAAAATTAAATCTGTTCTTAATTATTATTAAACCGATTATTTCGCGTTTGTGAAATTTTTGTAAATAAAAATAAACACTCGTCATTTTTATTTAAAAATTTATCCGAAATCCTGTGACTACAGAAATAAAACAAAAATAGGAAAAAATAAGGACGACACAATGCTCGAACTGTTGAAGCTGAAGCAGAAGTGTCAGACTTACTAAATGGAGATCTGTAAAGTAAAATCAAAAGTGGTTTATTTAAAAAACCGTAATATATGCTGTTTTTAAAGCATAGAAAATGAATATGTATTTCTAACTGCTTTATCATAAATTCAATCAATCATAAATAAATAAAAAATCTACATTTTCTAATTTAACACCGTTAGGATTGTACTTATTGTAAAAGTTAATTTTGACCGTAACTGTCCAATAACAGGATTTCGCATAAATTTTCAATTAAAAACGACGAATACCTATGGGCACTTTCTGTTACAAAATGTTTACAGACGCCAGATAAACAGTTTAATGATTAAAAATAAATTTGTTTTCCAACTTTCAAGACCCATAATTCCATAAAGAAGCCAGATAGGAAGAAGACACTAATCCAATCTTTACTTCGCATTCAGCGTTCCAGCTTCTGAAATTGATTGAATCGCATAAAGAAAAAGAATTGATTTTTTTGAGATTTTCCAAATGTTGTTCGAGGATGTTTCATCGGTTACTAAATTTCGCATTTTCCTCCAGTAATGCTAAATGGTAAAACTTTTCTTGCGTCCATTACTGGTTACTCTTGCCAACTCTTTACGTTTGGAAAGATCYTGGTTAATTCTGCAKACGCAATTTTCCTAGTAATCAACCCTTTTTTTGCTGCATTAAAAACCCGAAAGAAGAATGTTGAGGACAGTTTAAAAACTTGCCTGCGCTTAATTAATCAGGCGGTTGCGATTTAATGTCCGGCTAATAACTCTTTCTCTTGTTAACTAAGCACATGAAAATGGTCAGCGCAATGACACAGTTTTTGTTAGCGACCAGAGGGTAATATCGATGAGAAAATGTTCGGTTAATGGAGAAACGAACGTGATTCCGTCGCCGTTCCTGTTTCTCATTAGTTTATACGAAAATTGCCATTTTAATGGACCTATGTGGGGCCCTTATTGCGATACAATCGCCCTTTGGGATTGCAAATCTATGGAATCACTTTATTAAATAGAGTAACACGCCATGTTCCGTGCTGGGTGGAATTGTGTAATCAAAATGAAACAAAAAAGGCAATGTTTTGCACTTTTTTGTTATAAAAACTCGGATGTTTCAGTGAGTAAATTCTGTTCCGAAAACTAGGTCTACCCTTCGAATACATTTGGCAGTAAAACTTGGATATTTTACAACTTTTCGATTCAGGAGCTAAACTTTGCCAGTTGCGGCTTTTACTAACAAAATTTCCATAATCAGTTGCACTTTTCGCTGCAACAGTGGAAACTACTTGAACTAAAATCGATTTACCTAATGGTTGTTTCAAGTCGGTAAATTATTTGGTATTACTGGTCCAAATGTTCAGATGAATTATTAAACTTAAGGCGCACTAAACCATCATTTGGAGCAAATAATATTCTGAATTAAACGGCATACTGAAGGTCCCACTCTTCGTTTTGACCAGAATTTGCCATTTTTTACTCGTAGTATTTTAAGTTTTATTATTGTTTTTAGTAGGTAAGTACAGCAAAAGTAAGACTAGAAACAAAAAGAACAAAAATAACGTTTCGAGAAGTTAACATTGTCGAAAATTGAAATAAACTTAGAAAATACCGATGTAGCTCTCAAATGCTCACTGCACAATACCTCAGTTTTCTACAATTATTAGCTTTTTTGGATGTTTATTCGTTATTTCTTTGCTAATCTACCTCTTTGACTGTCAACAACAGTTTTCCTTCTTACGCAACTATTTTTCGTGGTTTTCTTGGTTTTTTTTGCAACCACTCTGTTTCACTTTTGTATGTAGTTAACAATCTTGCGGTTTTACTGAAATTATATTGCTTAACAGAACTTTGTTGAATTATTGGAATAGACAAAGCAACTTCTGGGGCCAAGCCGGGGAACGATGAGTTCTTGTAAACGTTGCGAAAAATTCTTTACTGCGTGCCTTTCACGGAGAACAACTTGAAATCAAAATGGGCAAAAATTCTTTCGGGCAAATATCAAGTAACTTTTGCTCTTTTCATTAATACGGTGTGGAATTTGCATTTTGAAAAATACAATTTTTTGTTCCTTTTCCATTTAGTCCATTTATTGAAGCCGTAAACAGACTTGGCACATGCCGGTTTAAAAACGACACTGGAACTGTCTTTTCCAGCGCTAGAAACTGGAGACTTTATTAAAGCCTTAGCTTGTCGTGAAATTAGAAGATATGGCGACAGGAAGCGAATTGCATTTATTCTTGACGGCAAGCATCGCGTTACATCCTTTGAAAACTTTTTTTGTTGAACAGTTTTTTGCTTATTCTGATCAATATGCCGTATTTTCTGAAAAGGAAATGCGCCTGGTTTATCAATCAGGATGCGACTTTATGGAAACCGAAAGTTATTTTGAGCTAAGTTTTGGGTGGACCTTGTATACTGTGATAAAAAATAAATTATCCAATCTTCCTTCCACCCGCTTTTTTATGCTCTGCAATACCTTAATGAAATCGGGCTGGTTTATTGCTGGCACGTTAGAAAAAACGCGACAGCGTTGATAAAAAGAAAAGTAAAAATATATTTCAAGATAACACAATTTATAGGGTGTATAAAATTAAGCGCGTAAGATTGTTGATTGTTTTTATTTCTGCAGTTGCAAAGACTTTTAATTTAACTTTAGACCATTTTTCACCTTTAATAATATTCAGCTGGAGAAATGGGATCATTTAACTCCAACCTGCTTTTTTTGGTGCTTTATGGCAACTTCATTTAAATAAATATCCTCTAAAGTTCCAAATCCTAATCGAAATGCGGTCCGCAAAAATCTGATCAACAAAAATGTATCCACTTTCTGGATTTTCCTATTTTGCGTGCATAAAGAAGGCTGCTTATTGAATATTTCGCAACATGCTGATTTTTATTTGCTCCATATGAAATTCAAATAAGCATAATCATTTAAAAAGTGGCCATAAATCGATGCTGATGTCAGCTCCTGAATAAATTCCCCGGATAATAATCCCTTCAGCATTATTTGCCCACTTTATAACTGCCGAGAGTTTTGAGCGAACAATTTAGCGATGGGCCCTAAGCCTGGGCAACACAATTTACAGAATGTGTCCTCAGCCCTAAAATGAAATGGCATATTTAATATGAGTGAGGGTCGGCAATGCCTTTCCCAATTTTCCAGATACCTTGCCATCTGGACAACTGGATATAGTACAAATGGGCGTTAATTATTTTCAATGCAAAATCTCCAATTTTGAGTCCAGGCTTGTTTGCTTCATTTTCCTTATCTAAACTCCAATTATTCCTACTACAGATGGCATCGATTCTAAAAATCTCTCAAAACTTGCCTGATGACTAAAAATCGAAAATTCTCCACGTATAAAACTAACTTTGCACTAAGAAACGCACCCAAAAATTTATTTTTGAAGTAAAGTTCGTTAGTTTCTGAGAAAATAAATGCCAATCTTAGACCTGTATAAACGATCGCAAACTCCCATCTCAAATAAAAAAAATGGAAAATAGCCTAGAAATGACCTGAAAAACTAATCTTTTGCCACTTATTACGCCCAACCAAATGCATGTAAAAGTCACTCTGTCTTCGCAGGTTTCTGAAGAAATAACTGTTAACTTCCGGTATGCATAAACCAATCTGGGGAAATTTCCCTGAAGATACGTTAAAATCGAAACGTTTTCCAGATATAGAGCAACCTTGCGATACAAAATGTTTGCTAAGATGACTCTTCAACTATTCTACGTAATGAGAAAATAAATGCCAAATTTACACCTGCAAAAGCAACTCAAAAATGAAAATTTAAAATTTAACCAAATTTAAACAAATCGTAAATACCCAGACTTTCAGAGATTCAATACACATGCTTTGTTCACATCCGTACGTAGGACGTACTTTGCACTACAAAAATCATACAAAAGTATCTCCAGCTTCACTAGTTACTGATGAAGTAAATCTTAATCTTAGGCCAGCATAAACAACCTCAAAAATCTATCGTTACAAAAAAAGTTAACAAAAAGGATCATGTAAATAGCCTGATGACGATCTGAAAATCAAAACTTTTGCCACTTGCCACGGACTCTGCCCAACTAAATTCATGCAAAAGTCACTTTCTAACCACTGGATCCAGAGAAAAGTAAGTATTAAACGTCGGATCGCATAAACAAGTGAAAATTACAAAAAAATATTCAATATTTCGAAAAGTTTCCAGAACATGAGTGAAAATTGAATCGTTTTCCACTTGTGACCAACAGTGACTTAAATATTCACAAAATCCACAAATTAATTTTTTTAACAGTTTCTTGATGACTACGGAAATTCTAAACTTTTCATACGTACAGAACAGGCGTTTTCCTACGAAATATGTACGTACAAAAGTGTCGCTCTCATTTTGTTACATCCTGAATAAACAAAAACCCAACTTCGGTCAGAAACAATAAACTCGCAATTCTTAAATAATCGCGGAAAAATGCCTGATAATAACTGAAAATCTAAACTTTGTTTTCTTATAGAAGCAAACCCACCCCCAAAACCAGACGCGATTTTGAAAATTCTTGAAACTAATAAAACATATTTTGGATAACAAAATCCATGCAAAAGCTGCTATATTACTTAGTTCCAAAAGAAATAAATGCAAAACTCCGGTTTGCAAAAACAAACTCCAAATTCTGAAAAATTCTCAAAAAAATTGCCTGATGACTGAAAATCGAAACGTCCACTGATAGAAGGAACGTGTCCCTATATAATTCACTCTTAACTGGCTTTCTGACTGAAAGTTAGAGAGCGAACAAATGCGAAAGTCTGGCTTGCAAAATCGGCACGAAAACCAGAGGCGATTTTAAAAAAAGCTTGCAATAAACAAATATTTAAATTTTACTCGCGCTGTGAAATGTAAAATAATAGCTCTATGTGGTTAAATAATTAAACAATTCAATGTTTCGAAATATCCAGAGCCTGCTGTATTAAACCAGAACCGTTTGCAATATTAAATGTAACTCAAACTAGGCGTTTACGGGAATAGTAAATATAAAATTCTAATGAGCGTGTAACAAATTTTATTAAACTAAATAAATAATAATAAATTATTTGCTCGAATGCGGGGCGAGTTTCTTTTGTTGACCAAAAACCATGCTTAAATTCACTCGATATGACTATTTTCTTTACTAATAACTAGTAAAAAAATATAATATACAAAATGGTTCAATTATTGCGACATTTTTCTGAATAAAAAATCCACAATATGACCCTATCTGTCCGGTTTCTACTTCAACTTTATCAGTTCGTGTACTTGACAAAGCTCTTTACAGTTATCGAGAGCATTTGCCTTAACTTGCAGGACGTTGCACGAATAAAGTGTCTGAAGTATGCGCAAAGTTGCTGTTGATTCAGCATCTATTTTCGGGTTTTATTGTATTTGCAGATGGGGTTTGTTTTCCCAAGTTTGTTTCCGTCTGCTTCGATATTGTTAAACTTGAGTTGAACTTGACTATTTTCTCTTACTGCGTTCCAACTGAACACTGTTGGAACAATTTTTTAAGCAAAAATAAAAGCCAATAAAAATGTGAAATGAGCGTGGGTATATTTTAGAAATCATAGGCTGATATTTTATAAATTATACAAAATGTTTCAGAACGAGGGGATCAAATTTTTTGGGAGTGTTCAGGGCATTAATAGAAGACAGTTGAGTAGATGAACTAATGTCCGGAAATGTTTCCTTAAGGCGCTACGCTATAAGACCGTCTTAAATAAAATCATATTTTATCGAGTTTTACTAAAAAAAAACAATGGATTGAAGCCTGGCCAGAATCTTCAAGTGGAGCTATTTACAAGAGGATGGGGCGCTGCAAATGTTCCAAAATTTTGATACAAACAGACTGCTGAATGATTTTCAGCAATGAACAAACTTCCAGTTGAACCTGAGTAGACATTTCAAGTTAAGCCATTTAAACAAATTCCTGAGGTCCAAACTGGAGCGAGTAGACACTCGAAATGTTGTCTAATTCCAAGCCCAATGGGCGCTGTAAGTGTTTTTGAAAATTTCGAGGTACAGCATGATTTTGCAGGAATTAACAAGTTTACAGTTGAACTGGATCAGAAATTTTAATTTGAGTAAATTTAAAAAATTCCTCACTTCCAAACTGGTACGATTAGACACTAATCACGATTGGGCGCTGCAAGCGTTCGGAAACAATCAATCGAAACGGCGTGCAGAATCATTTTTCAGGAATAAACAGATTTATAGCTGAACCTGACCAGAATTTTCAAATTAAGCCATTAATAGAAAAACCTCACGTTTAAACTGCGGAAAACTAACCACTTGAAGTTTTGTCAAATTCTGAAGATGATGGGGCGCTGCAAGTGTCCGGAAAATTTCGATCGAAACGCACTGCAGTATGATTTTTCAGGACTTAACAAGCTTGCAGTTGAACCTGACTAGACACTTCAAGTTGAGCCATTTTCAAACATTTCTAATGTCCAAACTGGAGCGAGTAGACGCTTGCAGTTTTGTCCAATTCTAAACACGATTTGGCGCTGCAAATGTCGCAAATTTCGGCCAGAAATTCCAAGTTGAGGCATTTCAAAAAGTTCTCACGTCCAAACTGAAGCGACTAGATACTTGAAATTTTGTCCAATTCTAACCGCGACCGGGAGCTGCACATGTCGCAAATTTTGATCAAATCGGACTGCAGAATTATTTTTCAAGAATTAATAAACTTACAGCTGAATTTGACCAGAACTTGCAAGTTGAACGACTTTCAAAAATTCCTCACAACAGAACTGGAGCAACTAGACACTTGAAATTTGTCCAGTTACTATAAATAGGGGTAAATTACCACCTAAAAGACTGCAGGTTGATTTTCCAAACAACGACAAACTTTTAATTAAGCTTGAAAAAAATGCTGACCCATTTTCAACATTTTTTAAGTTCAACCTGACACAGGCAGTAAATTTCTCAATAGTCACATTAATCAAACATTCTACCAGACTGGCAAGTTGAAATACCATCGCTGTGTAGACTAATTTCAAAAAAAATCCTCAAACTTTTAGCTCAAACTGAACAAAGATTGCAAATCATAGTCAAAGCTGATTTTTTTTAAAACCCAGAAACTTTAAAATCGACGCCACCATTACTTTATTACACCAAACTGCATTTACCTGTCCTGCCTGAAAGTGTTTTTATATCGATTATTAAATCAAAAAGTATATAACTAATGCAAAAATTCCAATGATTATTAAAGTGTGACAGTGCATGAAACTAATTTCTGTTTGTTAGAGGAAACATCAGTTATAAGAATTAGTCTTGTCTAAGTGAAAATTTGACAAAAATGCCTCCTAGTTTATGTGTATTTTAGTAATTTTCAAAATAAACCAAGTTTTTGTACAAACGGTCTTAACAAACGGTCTTAAAGTGCCTTAGGAGACATTTACGAACATTTTTTCTACTCTTGTATGTACTTGTGTACTTGTATATAGAAACAGCATTCTTAAACACAGCTTCTCATTGGAACAAGTAACATTTCGGTTTGCCTACTTTAAATGAAGTTAATTGACTATATTTTTATCCAACTAGCCATTTGTAGTTTCTCAATGAAATAGCACACTTTCCCGTTATACTGAGATAATAAATGTTGCGATCGAAATTTCAAAGCTGAATGTATTGCGTTTATGCGAGTGGCTAAAGTTGAACGAATTTTCTGCTATTCCAGTTAAACACCGAGTGGGCACAAGTAGAAGTTATTGATTTAATCAACGACGGTTCAGGCTTGGCTTTTGGCATTATTGGCGGAAGAAGTACCGGAGTGGTGGTGAAGACAATTCTGCCTGGAGGAGTGGCCGATCGGGTAAGTCCAAAATATCCAAACAAAATCGCCCTTGTTTGTTCAACCATTTGCAACAAGAGGATGAACTGAAGCTTTGCAATTAATCATTGCTGTGTTTGAAAATGTCCCCGCGCGATTCCTCGGATTCTTCCTGATACTCGGTTTTTATAAAACATGATTTATCAATGTCAGATTCTCCATCGTTTGTGCCTCCTCGTTCTTTTTTCTGGTTAACTGTAATTCGAGAGGATAATATGATATAATAAATTTCGACGCCAATAAACCCTCCAGGACGGAAGTAGTAGGTAAAATGCGGCATGTCGGGATGCTTTGTGGCGTGTGAAAAGTGCCAGAGGTTTATTTATTATATAGAAAATCCGTGTGGGTTTTTCGGATAGAGTGCGATCACAAAAAATGGGCAACTGAAACTCGTGGAAAAACCAATAAATTGGAACAGATTATGCTTGATCGAATAAAGCTTTGAAAAGTTCCCCTTTTTGAAACTGAAAACTGAAATGTTGGCGCGTCCATCAGTATAAGCTTTCGAGCTAAACACCTCTGAGAATGCAGGTCACTCGGGCTTGCAAAACGCCAAGAAAACATTTCTTGCTTTGCTGGAAACTGTTGATTCAAATAATTGTTGAAAGTTAATTTTTGATTGAAGTTGAGAAAAATGTTGATTTAAGGTATTTTCGTAAAGAAAAGCGCTCTTGCTCTTAAAGTGACCATGTTTTGGGTCACCTTTTTTATTACCATCCCTTGAAAGCATGCATTATTGAACAACGTGCAACTAAACCACTGGACTTTCAAAGATGTTTTTCTCCAATAAAAACTTCCGGTGACTTCTGGTTTACTGCACCCCCGAACAACTCCCTTATCTGATTAGTGGCTTTAGTGCTGCCAATTTATTCAAAGCGTCTCGAAATGCAACAACCAAGTGCTAAAGTAAACGATCCGTTGCTTCTATATTGCCTGGCGCTTTGATCGCTGGATCGTTTTCAATTGAGTTCACAGGAAAAACAAAGTAAAATGCCCCGTTCGCATTGACCCTGCCTTTGTGTTCTTCTGGTTTGATTGTTTTCCACGCGAAGTCTTTTTCGTTGTTTGCCGTCGTATATCAACGATGTAATTTAAGGCTTGTTTAATTGAAAACATTATCTCGAAACAACAGAAAGAGCAGCACAGTTTCTTTGTTCGGTTACTTCATTCGTTTCTGCTGTTCTCTTATGGGCAATTAGTGTTCGATTAGCGATTGCTTGCAATGAGTTTATTTGAGCAATTGAAAGTGGATCGAAATTGCAGCGCGCTCAAACGATTATCAAGTACGTGAATCGTCTTTGGCGCATTTGTTGTTATAACCATTTTGAAGCAGAAAATAAGCTCCCATTTTTTTTAGTTTTTTTTATCATTGGGAAGGAAGGAAAGGGCCTGTTTGCCCGGTTCTATCGAACCGGGGCCTGAGTCTTCAGTTGCGACAGGCATTAAATAGAGCGTAAAACCGATCGACATCTGAACCTTTTTCAGGAGCGGCTATTTCGATTTACTGCCGAGATTTGTGTTTAGTTTTGGGCTTAAAAGCTCGAGTATATTTCTTTGATTAGTGTCTTTTTGGTATTTCAATTCAAACTTTGCTTTCGTTTTTTGGACTTTTTATTACCCAAATATTCACTCGTTTATATTGCTGGGACTGTAATATTTGGTTCAAAGACAATATTATTCTTTATTGTTTAATTTTTAATGTGGAATTTCTCTAGCTTAATGTCAGATTAGTTTAGGTATGCAATATATTCTAAACACACTATTAAAATATGCATTAAATATAAACAAAATCCCGATGTTTATTCTTATAAACTACTGGTAAGAAATAGCTTCATTACGTCTAAACTGTTAGAGATAGACAAAATGTTAATATAAATACCCAAATTTCTTGATTAAGTGTTTTGAAAATTAATTTCTCAGAAACGACAAAATAACGTGCTTCTTTCATCGACTGCTAGGGAATAAATACACTCACTTTTTCCTACTTTAAAGTATCATTATCTACTCAGATGTATATCGCCATAAACTCTCTCAGATGGGTGTACAACATATGGATATCAAAAGAGGCGAAATAAATTTGATTAAAAAAGTGATGGTTTTTATATAAAAAAATGTGTTAGTCAATTGAAATATTTGAACTTTAATAATTTCTGGAAAATCCATTTGAGCAGCTAATGAAACTTCAAAGTGCAAAAAACAGAGCCCCTTTCATCCTCTAATATACGATGAAAGAAGAAGTTGCCATCTCTTATCGTTTATAAGATATTGTTCTTCCAAAAAAACCTTTTGCAAGTGTAACTTTTCCTAAGAAAATTAATCTTGCATATACATTCTGTATAAAATATTTAACTGAGTTATCTATTCGTTCCACAAGGTGTTTTATTGCTTTTTAAGCTTAAAGTTTACTTTAGCTTAACCTGCTAATCTTCATTTGGTCGTTATTGTCCTAAATGGGCCAAATAATATTACAAACTAGCCATAAGCAAGCAAGTTAAATTATATTCCACCATTACAGCCTAAATTTCATAGGCATTTTATCCAGAAATTTATGATTCCGATGCTGTTTGAGCAGATGTAATGGCTTTAATAAAACAATTTATGCGTGCCGATCGTAAGCCCCAAGTCCATGCAATAATAATAAAGGTACGCTGTTCAATTTTGGACCATTTTTCATTGCACCCGGGATGGTAAAGTCGCCTTAATATTCCCATATCTGTTTTATGTGGCCAGGAATTGGTAGTAACTTTTTTGGTTTTGGTTTAGCGCGCTTTTTATATCATGCGAGATAAAATTTGGGTTTGTGTCCCTCGTTCAAGTTGAAAAAAGATTCTTGAAAACAGCATAAAATAAAGCGATTTCAATAAACTTTCCTTAAATTAACCTTAGTGAAGCAAATCGAGAATATAACAATGCAAAGTTTTCTTTATCATTTTATAAAACTTCTTCATCTTATTCTTAGGGTGCGTTATGTTTTTTTCCACTTCCATATTTCTTTCTATTTTAAGCTGCCGGAATTATGCAAAATGTGGGCAAACTTTCTTCGCTTCGTGATGACTAAAAATAATAAGTTGGGTAACTTTTCATCGACAAACATAATTGTTGAAAAATGAAATTACTGGAGATGACAATGCAAAGGAAAATACTTTAGAAGTTAAGTAAAGTTAAACTGCGCAATCAGAACTTCATTTTACGCGAGCCTTTGGCAATCTTTAATTAAGCAGAAAACGAGTCGAACAAAGTAATCTAGAATTCTGGGCGAGAATCGTGCTCAATTATTCATCTTAAAAACTTTTTATTTAGCTCGAATTGTTCCAGCCATTTCAGATGTTTGTAGGAAACGTAATTGGGCCTTTTCTTTGCTACTCTTTTTTGTCTTGCTGGCGAAAATTATTCATTTGGTGGGGACCTCGTGTGTTGTTCGAATTAATAGATAACTAACACGAAACACTTTTTCTTCCAAGAATTGTTTCAACGAGATTCCAACAAAGGGAAGTTAACGGTTCATTACCACACCCACTAAGTGGTTCAATAATATAGCAAAAATGGGCCTTCAACACCTTTGCAAAATGCACCAGACCACCATAGATAATTTATCTTCAGCTTAACATTTGTTCTAGGACGGTCGGTTACAAAGTGGAGACCACATTCTCCAAATTGGAGAAGTGAACCTAAGGGGGTTGGGTTCTGAGCAGGTGGCTTCTGTTCTGCGCCAGTGTGGTGTGCATGTGCGCATGGTAGTGGCCAGACCAGTTGAATCAACCACAGCGGATATCCAGGTATGATAAATTCCAGAAGGATCAGAACTGTGTATATATATAATATAACTGTTTGTATTACCTAAAATTTACCGATTTCTAGTTGCAAATTTACCAACAGGAATGTTATATTTCTGTCGCTCGATTATGGTCTAAAATGTTTGGTTCAGATAGATGGATATTTGTTGAAAACTCTTCGAGGCTGTTCTGGTTATACCGCATAATCATTGTCTTGCACATCTTCCAATCTTTATTAGCTTTTAATAAAAAATTTCTATTCATTTATTCCAATGTACTTTTCGGTGACTTTTCGCATTCAGTTTTATCTGATTTTGTGGACATTTCGAATTTAAACTTTTGATAATTTTCTAACTTAATAATGATTTTTTTGAGGTTGTTTCTTTCAATAAGCGGCAATTTTCAAGATACTCGAAATAAGAAATTAAATGTAATGTTCACTTTCCCTCTTGCTTAAATCAGTAACTTTCATGAAAGGTTGTTGCTTGTAAATAATGAAGAACCAGTTGAATTTGCATTTGTTAAACACAAACTTAAAAAACTGAGTAGCAAAATTTTTGACCATCACAAATGTGTATAAACATTTTCATGAATTACGAGGTTATTTAACAAAAAAACACACTATCTTTTGCAAAAATCGCAATTTCAGGTAGGAAACTCTCGACCAAAAGTTGCTCTAATTTGATGAGCGAACCAATCGGGTTTTACTCGCGCAATTAGTCTCATGAATTAGCTAGAGGTGAAAGCGGATTAATTATTACTAGATGAGCAATTTGGGTGAAGACAGCCCTGTTAAGGGGTCAGTTACATAATTTAAGAGGGTGCTCCTACGTGGCTGGCACGGTTTGCAAACGGTCAAACATTTCCCTATGTATTGTTGTAATTGCGGAGGTTCGTTAAATCTTTGTCAGCCAGGCAAGTTTGCCGCAGACTATCAAACCGACTTGTCCATAAACTGGACATTTATTTCAGCTTGAAATGAACCAAACTGATTTTACAGTGGCGTTCATAAACTAGCGACAAATGCATTGATTTTGATGCCAATTGCAAGCAAGACATTCACGATATCAATTTCTTAGTCAATGAGCGCAAATGGCTCAGTAGAGAACAAAAATTAAAAACTTCCGAAAAAATTGCCAGTTTGTATAGCAAACATTCTAAAAATTCATCATAAAAAAATAGTTTCCACGTGTCGAAAAGAGTTTCGCATGCAGTGTTTTGCTGTAATGTTGATGTTTCCTGTAAAGAGAACGTTAACGCAAGAGAGCAAGTTCAAGACTGTAAAATTGCTGATTTTTTTGGGCCATAAGGCGTTTCTCAAGCGCTTAGTGGCTGTCTTTCGCTCGGAAATCTACACTGGACTTTAAAAGTGTCTAGATGAATAACCTCTGAAGATGCTTGCCATTCGTGCTAGCGAAACGTCAGGATTAAATATTGTAGTCTCAGAAGAGCGTATAGTCCAGCATAAACCTCCGAGTGAAACACATTTGAAGAAAGGTAAGAAATATTTTCCTCGTTGGCTTAACAGCTCGAAAAATTAATTTTCCTACATCTTGATGTACGCGATGAGTTATAACGAAAAACTCAGCAACAAAAAATACTCTACAAGTTCACACAGTAGAAACTTGAAAAATTAACATTCTGTAGAAGATGGGTTTTGCTGCAAATATTGCAAAGAAAGAGAAAATGTGTTTAATACAGCAGGAAATCTGTCCACAGCCGAACTTATTTGATCAGCATCAGCAAAGCAAAGAGAGAGAAATATAAAGAATCATCAAACTTCAGTTGCTTGTCGGAAAGCTAAAGTCAGTTCAAGCGAAAACAATTATAGATTAGAGACCTTCGTACCAGCTTTTTACAAGCTGGCGCCCCCCCCCNCCCCATCCTCCATTTCCTACTCATAAATCCTCAAAAAGTTCACTACACTTTCGCAAACTACCGCACTTACCATAAAGGCCACAATTATTCTATATTTTCCATCTAAGAACGCAATTCACACGACACAAAAGATTATCGACCAATTTCATCCACTCCCGGTAGAATTCTATGGCCAGTTATGCCGACTACTACTAACCGAATTAATTTTGTTTTTCTTAAAATATTGACTTAACAAAAAACCGCGAAGAAATCACAACGAAATTTCAATTAATTAAAAATGTCCTTTGAAAGTTCTGATTTCAATAATTATTCCGCCACAAGCGCAGTTGGAGGTGCGGCGCAGTGAGGCGCGATGAGTTATAACTCACAGGGAGGCATCAACTCAACTCAACACAGTGTTACCCAGGCCTATGCAGGTGTAAACTTCTATCGAAAAATGTCGGCTTGAAACAGAAAATGCTGATCTTCATCCCAAATACTTTTGATTAATCTTAATCCAAAAAATAATTCTCAATTCAAAGCCTTGAAAGTTTTGTGATAGATTCGATAGTTTGTGTTTAACTTCGAATTTTTGAGTCTAAACCTCGATAGTTTAATATTTTCAGTTCAAACGCAAAAGATGGATTTTTATTTTAATTGATATTCAGATTTAATCTAATAACATCGATTTTACAGTGGACTTCAATTTTCATTCTCTGTCAAGATTACAAAATTCGGATACTGACTTCTTGCTTGCATTTCAAATTTTCAATTGAAAGTGGTATTTTTTAGTTCAAAGTTTAAATATAAAAGCACCGATAATTGATTTTGTAGAAGTTTCGAGTTTGCCACCGCATTTGCTATTTTACAGTTCGGTGAAAATATTTTGGGGTTTTCTCCTTGAAATCAGGATTTTTCAGTTTAAAGTAAAAATATATGAGCAACTGTGTTTTAGCTTGATTTGTTTAAAGCTTGATTTGTCAAAAAGTTTGGCTTCAAACACATTGCCCAGGTGCACTAAATATTCATGGATGTAAAACTCCTGTTATGTTTCAATATTTTCCAATTTAAAAATTTGTGTTAAAATATTTTTCTTCATTATAATGATTTTCATGACGTAGGATTCTGATCCCAATAATTCTGCTTGATCCTCTTCCGAAAGAAAAATTTGAAATTTCAGTCCCAAATTCGAATTGAAAGCCTGAATTTTGTGATTGAGAGTGGGGCATTGAAGTCCAAATTCGATGGTTTGTGTTCCACCTCGAAATTTTGAGTCTAAAGTTAGATTGCTTAACATTTTCATAACAAATGCGCAAGACGGACTTTATTTTAAATTATATTAACACTTTGAATTAATAACATCGAATTTACAGTGGATTTTCATCTGAATTCGCTGCCTGAAGGACAAGATTGTTAAATTGCAATTCTGATTTGTTGCTTATATTTGAACTTTTAAATTGAATGCGGAATTTTTCAGTTCAAAGTCAAAATTTAGGAGCAAAGATGTTTAAGTTTTTGAAGCAGAAATTCCATTTACAAAATTGCATCATGAGTCTTTGCTTGGATTTGATATGTTTAACTAAGTCCAAATTTCACTTGTACCCTCGAAATTGCAAATTTGGAATCATCATTTCTCATGTGTACTGAACTTATTTTATTTCAAACCCGAAATGTTTACTCCCAAGGCAGAAATATAAAGTTTCAAAGCGAAAAAGCTTGACTTTACAGCCGGATATCTCAAAGTTTCAACATTAAAGTTATCAGCGGGTGATTCCAGATAATGGCCAGCGATAAACCTGCTTTTTATAATAAAACCCGTATTAATTCCTGCGAAAAAAACATATTCCATTGAGTTGATCTTTTGCAGACTTTGGGCAGTCACGCACCAATAGTGCCAACGAAAATTCTAGGCGATCCTGTGGAACTCGACAGGCATTTGATAGAAAATGGATTTGCAGGAACTTGCGCCCCATCGCCACCCATCCCCTACGTTCCGCTTATTTACGGGGCGCACAATGTAAGTTAAACATCTTTTGTGCCTCGCATATTCCAGTTTTTAAAAGGCACCCTCTTTATATATTTCAATGAACCCTGCTGAATTATTTCCAGTTTACAAAGGAAGGTCTGAGTTTTTCTAGTCTATTGAAATGAAATGGTTTAATACTTTTCAGACTCTCAGGCTTTTTTTGCTGTGCGATTGTGATGCTTTTTCAATAAATTTTGGGCGTAGTCTGAAATGGTAGATCGAACTGAAAGTTGTGACACAATGTGTTCTGCCCAGGGCTTTGAAATGACATCAAGAGACACTATTTTTTTAAACCGAAGTTTCAATCTTCAACTGGTGTGGTGTTTTATTGAAAGTTAGGTTTTTTTGGGGACTCGTTTTGCAATAAATCTTGGCAAAGCAGCTTCAAGAAGAAGAAAGGGGCATTTCTTAATTGTTAAAAAATAGAGGTTTTTGTCTGCTTTCTGATTTACACTTAATTACGTAGCAGACGTTTCAAAACTCTAGATTTTCTCGAGAATTAATCAAGGAAGGGTTTTTTCATAATGATCTTGATCTTTAACTAAGACTAAATCCAAAATTGTCATAATGATTGAAATTTAATAATTCATTTCTTGGAAATGTTGCAGTAGATCTAAACAATCTTTTTTTAGATTAGAACCCTTTTCGATAGAGCGTTTCAAGATCTATTTTTTTGTTCAACAGTGGAACCTCTATCGAAAAATAAAAAATATGCTTGAGTGCGCGCCTCAGACCTGTTTTTGGTTGATTCTTAAAATATGAAAGAGACATAAATTGGAATACATTCTTGAACTTGTTTATGTATAGGGGCGAAGGCCGAAAATATTATAGAGCCTCTTCGATACAGCGTATGAACAACTTAGTGGTTGGAAAAGGGTTTCATCATACATTTTTAATTAAAAAAGGTCGTTGTTCTCACATACTAAACAAAGTTTTGTCCCAAATTGATGTCTCAAAGTGTGTAAGAAAATTCCTCAATTCTGTATTGGAATGTTCGGATGCGAACTCTATAGGGAAACTGTTTAAAAATGTAGTACAATGCTATTCGCTCTATTTTCCAGAAGGGAAAAAGATCTTTTCGTAGTGTTCAAGTGAAAACCGAAAAGAATAAGTAACTCCGGCTACGTTACACAACATGGCTCGGAATTTATTGGTTAATTATGCGATTTTGTATGCAGTTCGTAGCCGAGATTCTAACACCGGCACCGGCGTAACAATAAATTAGACCAGATTTACAAGCGGAGTTAATATTACATTCAGGAGATACACTCGGATCTTAATAGCTTTTACCTAGAGTCGGTTTGTACAGGATGGTCAAATGTGGTCATTTTAATGAACCCTTTGAAAAAGAGGATAGACCAGCAGCTTTCCATCAAAGATGCACAGGAAGACGGCAAGTTCAAGATTCTTTTGTCCGAAGCCAGAAAATAATTGAAAATAATTTATATCAATTGTATAAAGTTTAAAAAACCTGCTCAACAAAATCAACATTACACTGATAAATTTGTATCAACTTTGAAACTGAATAAATTCTGCTTGAAGTGTTGTTCAGTTCTTTATCGGTTGGTGCGCGTTTTTGCTAAAAATGAGTAATTCAGATAAATTTTCTACAAGATGGCCAATAAAACGATGCAAAAATGGGTAAAGTTTCACATGCCTCTCAGTTGGGAGAAGATAGACATTGAATCATTAAAAAATTACAAGTTCAGCTTGCAACTTTTTGAGACTTGCGATATAGTTTTCTACTTATCTGAGTTACATTCTGCAAACGCTTAGCTACTAAGACTCCAGTAGTGAAAGAACTAAAAAATAAAACGATTTCCTAATACATCTGCTAGGGCTTCCATAAAAACGACCAATTTTGCCCACCCTTCATTTTCAAAATAGTAGCGTGACCACTTTACTAATCGAAATTATTTAAAATAAACCCTTGAGAAGCGGTTTTGCTGTCGCAATTTGATGCCCAAGAAAAATAAATATTTTAACCGTTTATTCAAAGCTACGAATTATTCAATTTCAGTCATACATTTGTACATGGCCGTAGTTTGAATGGCTCTCCCAAAATAAATCATGGATATTAAGTGATTACAACGACTTAAATGTTCGTCGATTATTAAATATTAAAGCTCCAATATTCCCAAAATTGAAATAATGATTAACTGCGAGATAGCACAGGGAATGGAGGTCCTTTGTCAGCTCGAACAAGCTGAAGGATTTATCTTATTACAACATCCACGCTTAATCTCCTCTACGAGACATTGACAATTCCAGATACTTCCCTTCAAATCCGAACTGATTCATTTAGAATCAAATCGACGATTTAGGACCGCTTCCACATCCAGAGCTTTTGGCATCCGAAATCAATGAATCGGTGCGAGCGAAAGCAGTTTATGGACTAAACGAGATTGATTACTGGAACTTAAAACCCATTTGGAAATAGTTCGTTTGCTGTTGACTTTGTTTTGGATACAATTGCAAGTCGAATGGCAATTTCTGCCATTAAAAAGGGTTGAATTTCCATTTGGGAATGAAATGTGACAAGCTTCCGAACGGCTTATTGAATGAATGGAGTTTAGTTAGGGGAGGCGATATTTAAGCTATGGAGAGGCTCTTAGTTCAATATGCTTTGATGTTGGTTGAGAACAAACTCTCTGACACAAGTTTACTCTTGAATCTAAGTTTACAGGATTGTCTTTATACCGCCATTAAAAAAATAATTACAGGATTATTCAGGATTAACCTTGATAACCTTAGGAATCGGTAAATCAAATTAGAATAATGTCTATACAATGTTGGCCTTTTGCGTCGTTTTGGATATAGAGGACATTGAAATAAGAAGACTTCTTCCCCGCAAGTGTCTGATACATTTTTTAACCACCAGAATTTACTCACGTACGTTGTTCTAACGATATGAAAACGAACTCTGTGGCTCAAATGGTTATTCAGCCACACAGAGAGAAATATAAAAAATCCATTAGACTTCAGTTGCTTGTCGGAAAACTAAACTCAGTTCAAGCTACAAGATTTCTACAAGCTGGCTCCCCATCCTCCACAACGAAAATTTGAAAGTAGTGATTTCAAGAATTATTCCGCCACAAGCGCAATTTGTGCCGCGCAGTGAGGCGCGCGATGACTTATAACTCATCAACTCACACAGCGGTATCAATTCAAAAGGGCAAGTCAACACAGTGTTACCTCGGTCTAGTTTGGGTTAGTTTGGGTACAAATCTTTGTAAATTTCCATGGATTCCTGCAAAGCTGAATGAAATTTAAATGAATGATATGCTATATTGTTTCGAATAGATCACATTGAATTACATTTTTGTTGCTGAAGTTTTGAAACAATAGAATAGGGGGTTGACACACTAAATACACTTCGAGGAAACTTGTGTACGTAAAACTTTGGGTGAATATATAATACTTTAAAAGTTGCGAAGGAATAGCGAAACATTTTCGTTTTTTCAAAGGCGTGGAACTCCGAAACTATACGATTTAGGAATTTTTTTATAATAATATGTAGGAAAATTGTTCTCTCCTGTTCTATCGTTTCCTGAAGTGATGAAGATTAAACGTCAATCAGCTAAGTAAACCGTTAATTTTAATATAATTTTTAGCCCATCTCGGATATTGTCGACGTGGTCAGAAACCCTCTGCCCATCGGCAAAATTCCGATTCCCAAGATTTGCCCGCCACCGCCGCCCTTTTCGCCGCCATCGCTCATGAATGTTAAAAATGCAGATTTGCCTGAAACCGAAATTTATGCCATCGAACTGAGAAAAAACGACTTGGGATTGGGTATAACTATCGCTGGCTATGTGTGCGAAAAAGGTAAAATAGTTTAAAGCCATTTGTTTTTCAAACATTATTCAACTTCAATTAATTATTAAACTAAACAAACTGGAAATTTTCCCATCACAGCTCGTTGCCCGATATATGCTATTTTTTCAATATCCCTACCTCATTATTTACCAGCTTTATAAATCATTATCTATTTAATATGATATTCGCTACTTCATTTGCAGACTATTTAAATAGCGCATTATTATTTTTAGGCGCAATTTCATGGCTGGCCTGCCAATTCTCCTAATTGCATTGAACGAGTTCGAATGTGTTTAAATGGCATTTAGACGCCATAAATATTTACTATTCTATCACTAACCTGAGTGGGTGTAGGCTTATAATTAATTAAAATGGGTCTTTGCCAAAACACTCTACAAGCTTTTCCAGCCAAAGTGTTTAACTTTAATTTTTTAAACGTAGGTAATTTATTACTATTTCAAGTTCAACGACCATTTGAGAAGAATGAAAGAACTTCTTTCCTTAAAGTTTACCTTCTTATCTTAAACATACTTTTATCATTATCAGCTTGTATCGATGAATATCGCTTAGAGTTATTTTAATGTTTTTAGAGGAAATTTCTGGGATTTTCGTAAAGAGCATTAGCAAAGGCAGCGCCGCAGATTCAACCAAAATCATCAAAGTGAACGATCGAATAATCGAGGTAAGTTCTCATTAACTCTAATCACATGATAATTTATGTATATTTAGATATATTATATAATTAGTTTTTTCGAATATTTTTGCAATTGTGATAAGGCAGAACAATAAAAGTCTGTCCAGAAACCAGAAAAAGACAAACGCAGGTAAGAGGGCGTTGAGCCGCCCATCTTTAGGCCACGCCTCTGGTTGCCTTATCTGTTGTGTGTTCTCTTTCTAGCCTTAGCGTTTATAGTTCTGCTTTATTCAATACGTGTACATTCTATAATATTTACCAGCCATGTTTAACCTACAGGGTGAAAAAAGTTTGTTTTTGCAAAATTTTTAGAGATCAGTGTTCTGAAGAATCTTTATTAACTTTTCCAGTAATATTGGTTGAGCGTGCCGCACGCACTGCTACGTAAATTATTTTTCCAATTTCGTTTGCTCACTTTAAGAGAAAACAATTTATTCTACACTTATTTTTCCTCCAAATCCAAATGAAACACTTGAAACCTGCTAAGTACTCAATGTTAGATTGTTGTTTTAGATTTTAGGTTGATTTAGAATTGTACTAGAAATCGCTGCAAGCAAAACGCAAATAAAGTGGAAACCACTGTATTTTTTTCCAATGTAACCCTGTATATTAATTCATGTTATGGACGTCCACTAAATTTCCTATGAAATTATATATCATGTTCCAATGGAAATGTTTCAACAAATTATTATTCAATTTTTTTCATAAATTTCGTAAAAGGTTTTCCAGAACGTTAAATAATATACATGTTGTTTCATTAAGGAAAGTGCAATTGACGTGTCGGAGTTCACTCACAAGACTCAAGACATTGCTTTATGTGAGGCTTAAACACAAAAATTTCTGACCTCAAACCGAAAATTTCAAATTTTTATGTATTGAAGTCGCGTTGCATTACAAGATATCTTGGAGCAATGTTATGAAAAATTATGTTATATATTTAATAATCCGAAAATCGCATGAAAAAGTTAAAGAAAAATGATTAAATCTATGCAGCTTATCGAAAAGTGCAGTCATCAACACGGTTTCTCATTTAAAATATCGAAGTTGTAGTTTTTTTACTTTTCGATATAAGCGTCAACGTCGCATCGCATTAGTGAACCACCTCGTATAATTTCTCAAATTTTTATGAAAATCTACAGTAGTTGTTCTTACTCACGAATGGAATCAGGCGATAGAACGATGATTGCCTGTGCTAGAAAAAGATAAAAGTCTGTAAAGGGGCGTTCACCGCCCTATCCTTAGGCCTCTGGTGCGTTTGATCTCTTTCTAGTACAAGCGTTTTTGGTTTTACTTTATTCTACTCGTGCAGATCCACTCACTAGGCCTGTCCAAACAAGTGGAGGTTTACGAAAACTATCCTCATATTTAGAAAAATAAAGTTGGATTTGTGCAAATTTTTGTTTTCAAAAATCTATATTAGCTTTTCTTCTTATATTTAACATAAATTCCTTTTTTAAATCGAAATTGTTTTGCTCATTATTCGAGACAGCAACTTGCAATACAAATTCACTTGCATTGGTTGGAATGGAAGCAAAACGCAAATAACCATAACAATAAAACAGTTAGAAAAAGACAGTAGCCCAAAAAAATATTCAGAAAAACCATTTCAACACAATTTCTCCGAGTACGTTCGACAATTTTTGTATATAAAACGTGCGCTTAAATTATCATATTTAGCTTTCGCGACCTCCTGTAAAAGTAAGCAATTTTCCTTTAGTGTACTGAAGTCATTAGCTTATATCGTGATGAAGAAAGCTAAAAATAAACGAGGCAACTAAATATTAATGACTTCAGTTCATGTTGCAGCCATTAATTGCCTGAGGGAAATTTTTGTTGGCAATAAAAATAATTACTACCAACAAATTAGCTGCAAAGTTTGCCCATCTTCAGTATCACACACGGAAACTAAACTGGTTTCCTGGTTTTCGTCTTCCGCACATTTTGTTAAACCTTCCTAGAGTCTTTTTCGCAATTTTTAGATCCCGAGAAAAATAGAACGCAAACTTTCCAAGTGTGGTTGGAAAATGCAGACGACGCGATAATGGAAACTACTACAAACTGGAACTTTTCAGTAAAAGGAAGCAATTCCGTATGGTGCGACTGGAAGTTTGCAAAGCCAGATTCCAGTTTCAAGTTGTTTACGTATCTTGAATGTTTCGACTTTCCCGATCAGAATATTTATTTAACTATCTAGATGCGATCAGATGTTTTCGGAAAGTTGGAAAATTGAAAAAGTGTCATCAAATATTCATTTGTCTGGGTTAGGGAGTGAACTTTCACTGCAATCGGCAAGTTTTCATAATTTAATAAAATATGACGCCCATATTGCTAGTTGATATGATAATATCAAAAGTCTTTGGCAACCCCACGTCGTGGTTTCATAAATCAGTCAAGAGAATGGAATTGAAAAAGATATTGTACAGATCAGTCGTTCTTTATCTCCAAAAACACGCCTGGCGGGATGCCAAAAAACACTTAGAGCGATCGTTCCTCTTCCTTAGCAGCCACTATGCGTGATCGTAGATTTCGGATGTGCCTTCCGATTTCTTTTTCCGGTAATTCTCGTTGATCAGAATCACGATTTACGCAAACAATTCATTTCAATCTACCGAATTACTGTGGTTTTTGACTGATCAATTCCAATTCCTTCTTAGTTTGGGGGTGATTTAATGTTGCAGGTGAATGGAACTTCTGTGATAGGCTTTACAAACCACCAAGCTGTAGAAGTTCTAAAAAACACCGGATCTTTAGTCAATATTAAATTCGAGCGGTACCTTCGAGGCCCCAAATATGAACAATTGCAACAAGCGATCAAGGCAAATGAAATGCGCCCTCCATCTCCGCCATCCCCGACGATTTCTTCCCTCCCCAAAGTCCCATTTAGTTTAGTGGTGAGCAAAAAAGACCAATTTAATATTTGCACTAAATTGCCATTTTCTAGCACATGAGCCATTTGGGTATTGAACCTGAAGGCGAATCGCACACTAGTATCGATTTCGATTCGGCGGTTCTTTTCGAATCCATCAGTCCAGTGGATGAGGAGAAGGAGATTGTGATCGATGGTGGCAAGTCGCTGCAGTTTAGTATTAAGAGTCAAGAGGCGATTTTTGAAAAATGGAAAGATTTGATCGATAAAAGTGCACAAATTGTGGTAAGTAGCGCTTTTACTTTATCGTTTGTCAAAAAAATGTAATTTATTTGTTCAACTTCACAGTCACAAACCTGAATAAAGTAAAAGCAATTCAAGTTAACATTAGGTTTTTTATTCAGACGCAATACTGTTCCAGATAATAGCGGTTTTAACTTTAAATTTATTCCAGATGAATATTGATGCAGATTTCGTTCATCCTCATATTCGCATATTGATTATTGAAAGTTTTTTATTCGTTTTCCTTCCGACGGACGGCTTGATAGAAACAAGGCTCGGGAAACAGTCAGACTGGTTTTAGTTTTTGCAAAACAAAAATCGATTAATTTGTCTCTGTTTTTCTCTAAGATATTAGCGTTTTGCGCAATCAACTGAAATTACTTGAAACATTTTTTCACCACTTAACTGCTAAAAATTCGGTAGTTAAATACTTCTAATATAAATTACGGGCCCTTTTTGAAGTCAAGGTCAACTGGAATCAAAAAGGGTGAAGATAACTAATAATGCTAAGCCTTTTAGAAAGTTTAAAAAAAAATCGTGCTATTTTACAACGAAAGTGGAGAGAAATTAGTCCGAAAGCTGATCAAACTTTGCGGATGGTCTCAGACGCACCGAAATAAATCTAAAATGAGCGGTTATTCATTTAGTCACAGTAGCTAAAGTCGAATTAGAAATCAAATAGACTACATTTTAACAAAATATTATGTAACAAAATGCATATAAATAAAATAGGATAAAGGAACCAGATAAAGTCAGTTAAAGCGTTCCCGGACTGGAATGCTAAAATAAACTCGGATAAACAATTTAGAATCCAAGTTATACGGAATGAACTACAAATAAAAATAAACAGGAATTTAAAAACATGTGACAGCAAAGAGCATCTAAACTGCAGAACTATAAACGAAAAGTGGTATAACATCAAATCAGTTTTACTCGAACTCACTATAAATATTGACAGGAAAAACAAAATTACGAGAAAGAACTAATGAAGGACCAAAGAAATTCTTAACCATATGGATAAAGGACGAAAACTGAAAGGAAAAAATTATCAAAAATACAACTAAACATCCCGAGTAAAAGACGGCAACACTAACATTCTTGAAAAAGTTATTCAGTTTTCTATGATTTTTGCAGCAAAAAATTCTAAATGTTCTTAATCGATTTTTCTATTCTGATCATTTAGGTTTCTGCTTATGATGAAATGCTCTTAAAAATATGATCCTTACGGTCATTAGCAAGGGGAGTGAGTAATTAAAATTATTGGTATGAAAAGACATAGGAATGTTGACCGAATTCAACATATTTCTTCTGCTTATATTTAGATTTAAATTTTCATTTTTTAAATTTAGATTTTTTGAAATGTCCATTTGCGTAAAATGTTTTACTAGAAGCTAACGAAAAATCGGTCCAGGTTTTAAGTCCGAAGGTTATAGCGTTAAAAGCGATTTTTTAAACTGATTTTATTCACGATCGGTTAAATTTGTTTTTTGCATCCGTTAACTGCAATCGCGAGAAATTCATAAAAGCGGCGACAACTTGGACGAAAACATGTTAAACGATAAAAGATTATCGATTGAAAACAGTTTTAGAAGTAAGTTGACCCAAAATATGTGACACATTATAACAATGTTATAGACACAAATTCAGTTTCATGCGTATCTTTTGAACTGAAATTCAAATCCTCGCAAAAACCACAAATTTGGTTTTTCGCAACAAAGTGATCTCGAAATAATTCCTCATCTTTTTCTGGATATTAGAAATGATTGATTAATATTAGCGGAAATTTACCAAAATTTCAACGAATTGATCTCCCTCAAAATAAATTGTTCAACTTGCATGAAATTGCCCAATTTCGCACATAATACGTTCGAAATCGAAAATCGATCAAAATTTCACCCTCTACGAATATATAAAATCTCGGGATTAATAGCTTATCATTTTAATGAGCTGATTCGGCAAACCAGCCACGTTTTTGGAACGGATCCAAAAGCCGCCAGCGATTTTCCAAACTTGCTTAATTAAAATGTGACAGAGGCGAATTGAGACAAATCACTTTGGATTGTCCAGCTACTTAGGGAGATCGCTGATTATGGGCAGCTGGACAATGTGTGCCCATTTAAGTTTCACTTCTACCCTTTGGTGGTAAACAATTATACGGTCCCGGTTAAGCCTATTAATTTTCCAGATAGCGGAAATGAACAAAACAGAACAAAGCGGACTAGGGATTAGTTTGGAGGGCACGGTGGATGTGGAGGATGGGAAGGAGGTCAGACCGCATCATTACATCAGGAATATTCTTCCAGATGGGCCGGTTGGCCTCAACGGTGTTTTGCAATCTGGCGATGAATTATTGGAGGTGATTTTTCAAGTGATTATTATTTAAATATTTTTTACTTGGAAGTTGTTCTTTTGAGGTGAATGGAATTCAGCTACTCGGACTCAATCACCTTGAAGTAGTTTCAATTTTAAGGCAACTTCCTACTTTCGTCAATCTAGTTTGTGCTCGGTACCCTGTTCCTATTAGAATAATTGATACATCGCAGCATCCCGAAGCGTTCCAAGCCAGAGTAAGCGATTTCACCATTGTCCATTGATTAGTATCATAAGTTTTGGTTTTCGGCAGAAAATCCTGGCCGGCAGTCTACAGACTCTTATTCCAACTGCGGACGCTTCGCGTCTTGTCAAAGCCAAGTCCGAATCGTCAATCGCTTCCAGTTTGGGCAGCGAAGCAGTGAGCACAAGCAAATCCAGATCTCTGGAACTGATCGCCGGACTGCCCATGTGGTGCGAAGAAGCCACCATTGTAGAATTAAGTAAAGGGGACCATGGCCTGGGATTTTCCATTTTAGATTATCAGGTAAATGCGTGCATTCTAATTAAATTTGTGTACTCTGACTGCATAAAAATATACAGTGTTTCTAAGGAGTATACTGATCAATAAAGAAATTGGGTTTTACTGCTTTGTCAAAACTTATTTAACTAATTTAACACAAGTACCAAAACAACGGCAAATGTCTTAACAAATTATCTGCCTCTTTTCATATTGAGACAATAAAACACCAAAGGTAACTTTACAGACAGAGACAATGGACTTATAAATAACAACAGGACGAATAGCTGAATGCACAATGAAAAATACAGTAGAACTGGCAAAATATCAAAAAACCATCGCGGTACAAGCAAGTTGGCATTATTGAGAAGAACGAAATAGAATATCGCATCGACAAAGACAAAGCTGACGCTTTCGCTGGACACTCAAAAAGCCTTCAGTACCACAAAAACCCCAAAATTCTACTACGACAACTGGAACACAGTAAACAGATGGTACGACACTTACTTTAATAATCACACATGAAAAATACAGCATCAGGAAACGACATGGAAAAACCACAATTATATCCATAACAAAGAATGCAATCAATAATACACAATCATAAAACAACAGACGGATTAACTGCCGGGACTGAGTAAACTCAGAAACGAAAAATACTATACAGCTCAAAGTTGTGCGATGTGAATGCCGTCAAAAATTCGAATTTTACTCATCATTAAGAAAATTTTCGCAGGCTTTCAAATAACTATTACGGGACACATTTCGAATTGAGTTTTTCAAAAACAAATTTCTCAGAAACGAAAAACACTCATTCAGAGTTGTGCGTGCAGTAAAGAAGAGTGCGGTCTAAATGTTGTCAAACTTTCTTCAAAAATACATTCAAATCACATGAAATCCTGAATTTTGCACACTTCGTAAATGTTGATTTGAAAATAAACGCTTTTACGCAACTACATACTCTTAAATAAAATAAATAAAAAATTCCAACTTACAAAGTAAAGCCAGTAGAAACTTGAAGATTCACATTCTGTAGAAAATGTTTTTAATGAAATTTTGGCGTAAACAGGTGCAAGTTTACGCCAAAATGTCTGATATTCAAATTTAGTTTGTCGTCTATAAAAAGATTTATAGATTAGATATAATTGTTACCAGTTTTCTACAAGCTGGCGCCCTATCCTCCATTTTCATTTCCCCCTTATATATAAGAATGCGGTTCACACGACACCGCTTTCGTCTATTGTCTGTAGTAAACTGAATATTCATACACGTTTTCGAATAAAAAACACATTGAAGTACAGAATAAACATGATTATTTAATCCTTTTCGATGATGAAAGTGCCTGTTCGCATTGCAATTTTTCTAAAGGCAAATTTAACGTTCTAACTTAACGAAAGTCAACAACAACTTGACGAAAAACGCTCCAGCGCCGATCTATCACTAATTTAGAGCCATTTATTTTTGTCTAAATTTCACTCTACTGCAGTGATTAATGCACAACGATGATACCAAAATTAATAGCCGAATTAGGTTTGTCTTTCTAAAAATATTGTCTAAACAAAAAAATTGCAAATAAGTCACTTAAAACATAAATTGTTGCTCAATTTCCGAGCGATGATAGAAACCAACCAAATGGCAAGTGCGACGCAGTGAGGCGCGATTAATTATAACTCACCAACTCACAAAGCGGAATCAACTCAAAGGCGCAACTCAACATAGTGTTAACCAGGCTTACAAAAAACTAATACACATTGTCAGAGACCTCCAGGGCTACATTAAACTGGAAATTCGCATTGACAATCCACGTTTCTGCGAAACAAGGACTGCTTTCACTGTTTTCACTATTTTCATCCAACGTATGCTGCCATGGCTTAGATGACATCTTACAAGACAAAAACTCGTAGGCAAATTGAAGATAATACTAGAATACGCAGACAACACTGCACTGATCGTATAGAAAGGGTCGGAGGCAAACTCCAATTTCTACTTACGTACTCCAACTAATTACAATACGAACACACGAACATGACAAATACATCAGAAAGCCTGATCCAGTTAGAGGAAAAATGGAAAAAGAATCCCCACAACTGGACGATTACTGAAATTTTAGTCTTACAAGACATAACAGACAAATCTTGGAGTTTAGTGGCTAGAAATTTCATTATTTCATTAAACGTATTTAATGAAATATTGTTCTTCATAAAGGCCACAACTAAGTTCATATTTTGAACCGTTGCTGAGATATAGGTTCTATACGCTTCTCTGAAAATGTGATTTTCAAAAGGTCTATTTTCTGTTATTGATATTTTATGAAGCCTAGCTGTTTATCTTCAACAACCCATTTTTCCTCAAAAATATTGCTGAATGATTCAACAATTTCAGAAATTTTTCAAAATATCACCACATTACTTTTTCCTTCCAGGACCCGTTAAGTCCTCAAGAAACTGTGATAGTCATCCGTTCTCTAGTGCCGGGTGGTGTAGCGCAAGCCGATGGCAGATTGATTCCAGGAGATCGATTATTGGCAGTCGATAATATTGATGTTAGTCGTGCGCCTCTAGATACTGCCGTCCAGGTGCTCAAAGGCCTACCAAAGGGTTCGGTAAAAATTGCCGTTGCCAAGCCTTTAAATGGAGGCGATGCAGTTTCCCGCACCAGCCAGGTAGGTGCTTTAGAATAACCTTTTCCTTGATCTAATTGTTTAGTTTGTTGGAACCACTAAAAATATAGTCGGACTTCTTTCGGAGACAGTGGCCAGACATCGTCCGGATGATTACTTAGCGTTTGTTGCATTTAAGCCCTTCTTGAACTTGGGTCATGCAGTATTTGTCGTTGTTAGTGATTCGCGTTTGGTTTAAGTTTGTGTTCAGTGCCAGTTAAGGCAGACCTTTGACGGAAACTTATTTTTTTAGTTTGTGCGGAAAATCTTGCGACAGTGGTCCGCCGAAATTGGAAATATTTGTCTGGTAAGTTCAATGTTTTATGTGCATGTTTAGACATAGTTTTTAAATAATTAGAATTACATGTTTTATTTACTCCTATTAAAACCGTTGCAGAATCCATGATCTACGAAATGCCGCTTTGACTTGACCAAGGCGCGGATGTTGGAGATTAGTCGAAATATTCCATAGCTTAGTAGCAGGTAAGTTGGATAATGGATTTACTCTGGAAGTTGCTTCTTTTCGATTAGAACATTTACGCAATGTTGCGAAGACCTACTTGCTTCCTCGAAACCTTCTGTAAGTACTTTCTGTTTGGTTATAAATTTACTCAAAATTATAATGGTTTTTATTTTTAGGTACAAGGAAATCTACAGGGTGAATTAGATATAAATGTTAACGTTAGCACGCTTTTCAGTATTGATGCACGTGGTATATTCCTAGAGCAGTCCAGCTCTTAGAAAT